TCTAGGCTATGATCCTCTTATCCATTGTGTCTTGCTAACCTTTTTGAGCCAAGAAATTGAACGCTTTGATAAGTTATTATCTGTCATTCATAAATCTTTGAAAAGTCTTCAACTTGCTATAAAAGGAGAGATCATCCTCACTGAAGAACTGGAGGATATATATGACTCTTTTCTTAAAACGAGAGTGCCTACACTGTGGCAGGTAAGCAATTCTTTCCTATTTACTTGCTTGATTGAAATAAATATCCAAGTTCAAGGGAATAGTAAATTATGGTACATCCACATGATGAAATAGTATGCAACCATTAAAACCTGCAGATGTTGACATACTTTTGGTGTGAGTATACATTAATACCACCTCTTAGAGGGAAATTTGGAAATTCTACTTAAATAAATTTATCTTAGAGATTTTTTCACAGGACTATTTATAACACCACAAAGCTGAAAACAACTTGAATATTTATTGATAGGAGTCTGGTCAGATAAATTATGATGCATTCCAATAACGAGATATGTGCTGCTATAACAAGGTCTTCCAGATGTCCTGTTAAATGAAAAAAAAGCTGTTTAACCATTACAGAAACATACATTTATAACAACACATATGCATATATATGCATATACAAAATCATATGTGCTTTAGATTCAAGGAATCCAAATAAAAGTTTTGGAAGAAAACTGTTAACAGTGGTTACCTCATGTGATGGAGAATTGAGGGTCTTGTGGGTGAGGAAAGAGGCTTTAATTTTACATTTATATTTTGTTGTATCTTATTGTACTTTTCTGATTATTTACCACACTCATATTATTTTTTAATTAGTATAAAATTTTAAATGTTTACAAAGACTATACAAGCTTTTTCTAGTAATGACAGGCTAGGTTATTTGGACCAACCTCTCATTGAAAGCAACTAAAAATATTTTATTAAAAAAAATTTAGTATCAGTAAATGCATCAAGGAGCCCTGATGGACAGTGGTTAAGAGCTCAGCTGCTACCCAAAATGTTGGCAGTTCAGATCCACCAGCCACTTCTTAGAAGCCCTGTAGGGTCATTCTACTCTGTCCTATACGGTCACTGTGAGTCAGAATCGACTGATAGCAACGGTTTAGTTTTTTAAAATGCATCAAAGAGCTGATAAAACAGTGACGAATTAACAGGACAAAACTTAAAAGAAAGCAAGAACACAGAAAGCTAAGTGGAGCATGCCAAGTGCTTGGCCCTGACGGTATTTGCTAATCCTGACAAAACAACACTGTAGTTTTGCAGGGGAGAGGGACAACGAAAGCCAATCCCAAAGCCCACCCAAGGTGAGGTGTCTGATAAATAACACACTCATCCCAAAGGATTACACTTTCACACTTAGAGTGAACCAGATGTAAACCCCACTCCCTTCAATCTACAGGGGGTCTGCAAATGAAAGTTTCCTGTGCACAAAAAAGAGCAAGGCATGAGGGGAAGTTAAAAAGAAAGAAAACCTGTTCCTGAGCTATTGTAAGCTATAATTGCCCCCCTTTAATGGATTTGCAAACCCAAATTTATTGTAAAGTGCACCATAGAGCCTGTCTGGGAGAAGATAACTTCATTCATTCTGCGTCTCATGGA